TTTTGAAGAAAGGCCACTGATCTCAAGGTTACTTCGTAGTCCAAGCAGGGAGAACTAACTTCACTCGGATTGTGGGTGGCTTATGACTGGTGTCCATGTAAACTCTGTGCACCGTCCCCTTCCTTAATGTAAGTCACTGCAGTCGTCTGAGTAATAATTTGACTCTCAAAATTATGGGGTTTGTCTCAAACACAGAAGTCCATGTAATTTGGTGCCAGTCTGACCTCACATATCTCTGTTTCAAAGTCAGTCCCACCATGGTGTTTAACGGCAAGTAAGATCGTGTCCTGGGGGGGGGGCTATAGCATTCTCTTAAAAATCCCTGCCTGTGGATGACACCCCCTCAAATGCACTCATCAGAAACAAACCGTGAAACCCTCCTAGGTAGGGCAGCTCTGTGTAAGCACTGGAGCAGTTGCAGTTGATGGTTCCAGTATAAAACGATGTACTTCTTTGTTTCCTTTTTTTCCCCAAAGTCCTCCCTGACACACCTTTTTCCAAACATGCTGAAAGCTCATAAATGTTTTTACAAATAATAAGGTAAGGAAGGAGCCAACGAGGTCACTGAGTGGGTAGCCTCCTTGAACACCGAGGATAGATTAATGATATCTAACTTTTCTTCAAATTTGTGTGATCTATTATTAAAAACTTCCAATGGTAGGAAATCCACAGCTTCTGCCACCAAAATTACTTCTCTGATGGATGGCGCATATGCTGCGAATGTTCTCATAGCTGCAGTTCTAAAATGCTTCAAGATTACCGTTCCCAATTCTGTATTTTGCTCTTTTTTTTAAAAAATGAAGGAAATAAAGAACTGGAAAAAAATCACCTTTGGAAAATCACTTAGTGAAATGGCACTTTTTAAAAAACCCCGAGGACCGATACACAGCTGGTGCAGAAGGCTTCTGGGAAACATGACAGCAGAGGAGTTATAGCTGGGTAGCAGTTATTTGCAGCGTCCACTCAAGGCAAGCTGCGCAGGGATCATACATTAGGGATGGGGTCAGATCCTGGCGGCACTTTCCAAAGGATGCTGTTGATGCAGAAAGCAGACGAGATCAGAGCCCAGCCAAGTGCTTGGGTATTTAAATATTAAACTGGCAAAACACTGTCATTTGTCTTTGTTCTTTAATTTTTAAATTCCATGAATTTTGTACTGGTGCCAAAACTGGCAGGTGCTGGGCAGATGCAGACTGTCTCCCCAGTGCAAGAACAGCCTGGGAATGTTGTACTTGGGAAAATGACAGAGGGCCAATTTAACCCAGTAGCTTAAAAACAACAAGCCCAGTTGTATTTGTAGAGTCACCTTAGATACTCCAGTTAACTCCCATGGGTAAACTTTAAAATGGATTTGCTTCATTGCCCTCTCCAATAGCAGTTTACAGGTGAAAAGATAAAGGAAAAAGAGAAAAGGTATCTCTTGGGAGGTTGATTTGCTACCCTGAGCTTCTACCTGAGTTTCCTCAAGTGCTCACAGCTCATTGTTTCTCTCATCTAGTAATGCCTAGTTGATCTCTACCACCACACCCTTAGTAAAGCCAATTATGCACATTTTTGTTCTTAGCCGTATTCACAAGAAGGGAAATTCTGTTTAAAGAATTCTCAGCTCTGGTGGTGGCGGTGGTGGAAAGGGCAGAGTCAACATAGGGCTAGGCTTCACATCCGTGCCAGTGGCTAACAGGGAATCTCGGCAAATGCAGTTTGGCTGGCAAGCTACACCTACTGAAATTCAACTTCTATACAGGAGGCCTGTCTCCTCTCTCTCTCTCTCTTTTTTCCAGAGAGAGCAGATTCGTCTAGATGCGTGGTATAAAAGCCAAATAAATAAATAAATAAATAAATAAATAAATAAATAAATAAATAAATAAATAAATAAATAAATAAATAACCCTGGCACCACATCTAATCCTCTCCTCCCTTTTTTCTGCTCCTCCTATGCCTCAGTTTATAATGTAAGGCCTTCAGGCAGAGATCTGGCTTTTGTGCCCTGTTCCTCTACCGAGGGATGGCACAGGCATTTATTATATAAACAACAACAGTTGTCATCTTTCTATATCCTTTGCTGTTCACTTGTGTTTCCCCAAGACTGTGCTTCTACTATGGAGGAAAAAATATTTTTCCCCTAGCACTCAAATCACAACCTTCTGTTACTGGGAAAAGTGAGTCTCTTTCCATAAGCCCCACACATTCCTTTCCTTTGCAATAGCTGTAGGGTAAATGGTTGTGAAACTGGCGCAGCCCTCTTCTGAAATATCACATGCAACACAGCCCACAATGAGCTGTAGAACCTCTCCCACTAGAGAAGGGGTAGGCAATTAATTTCTGAACTGTGTTCGGGGGCCGAACCAACTTTACTTAAAAATAAAATGAAACAGTGATGATTGTTTTTACAGTGGTGCCTCGCTTAACGTTTGCTTCGTTTAACATTTTTTTCGCTTAACGTTTATTTTTTCAGAGGCAGATTGTGCTTCGTATAACGTTTTTCCCTATGGGCGATTTTCGCATAGCGTTTTTGGGACCATGTTTCGCTTAACGTTTTTGGTTTTAGGTCCCCTGCTTCGCTTAACGTTTTTTTTTGTTTTCAATTTAAAAAGTGTCTTAGAAGGGTCCAAAACGGTTCTAAATGCTTGGATTCGTTAGAGGACCCCTTAAGTCATGTGCAAACCTGATTTGGCTTTGATCTGAACTTTCGTTAATTTTTTGTAAATTGTTTTCTCCCCCATAGGAAAGCATGGAGCTGTCAGATTTTGACAGGTCCATTGGTTCCTATGGGCCAAAAAACAAAAATTCACAAAAAATTAACGAAACGTCAGATCAAAGCCAAATCAGGTTTGCACATGACTTAAGGGGTCCTCTAACGAATCCAAGCATTTAGAACCGTTTTGGACCCTTCTAAGACACTTTTTAAATTGAAAACAAAAAAAACGTTAAGCGAAGCAGGGGACCTAAAACCAAAAACGTTAAGCGAAGCATGGTCCCAAAAACGCTATGCGAAAATCGCCCATAGGGAAAAACGTTATACGAAGCACAATCTGACTCTGAAAAAATAAACGTTAAGCGAAAAAAACGTTAAACGAAGCAAACGTTAAGCGAGGCACCACTGTAGGAGGTGAATGGTGCAGAAGCTGTAATGCATCTGGGAGAAATAAAAATGCCGTAAGAGCGATGCTCACATTAAGAGATGCACATATTATTGCTAGTTCTTTCTAAAGTCTCAAATCAATACTGTGAATTATTTTAGCCCACATTTTTTTAAATGTAGAATTTAATTTGAAGCTATCCTCTGAGAAAAAGGTAATCTATGTTGATAGCATTGCATAAATGATCTGGTGGATGATCATATATATATATATGAGCAGACAAGAGGCAGCTGTGGGCCACCTGCATTCCTCTGCAACCCAACCATTCCCAAGTATCATCACCATTAAAGGTAAAAGGAGGGAGCCTTCTGCCGTGCTCTAATGGCATGGGGGGGGCGCACACTAGCATCTTTGTGCATCCCAGGTAACCACACACCAATTCTGTGACTGTGGCAGAGGCAGTGGCTCCAACACATTTTGGCAGTGACAGTAGTTGAGGTGACTCTCGGTGAGCGGGGATGTGTGCAATCTCCTCCCTGTGCCACTCAGGAATTGATCTCACATCCAAGGATGCCTTCCCTTCACTGAAATGAGTGAAGGGAGAAGAGGCCATTGCTCACACACTAGCGTTCTGTGTGCTGGAGGATCAGGGCCCCATGTGGAAAACGGCATTATGGATCACAAAAGTGCTGGCTACATCAGTCGGTCAAGAGGACATGCTACTTTTCGGGTGGCCAGATTGCAAAAGAGATCTGGGTTCCCATAACCTCTAGTTGCATAAAAGAGGGATTTTCACCAGGTGTGTTTTCATAACAAGCAACTATAATAAATAATCACCAAACAGCAACTGCACTAAGGGACTGTAATACTAGTTTTAATGGTTTATACATAGTGCAAGCCATACATATTTACTCAGAAGAAAGAACAGTGAGAAGTACTCTCTAGTAAGGAAGCTTGGGGGAGGGGGAAAGAGAATTAGAATGAAGAGAAAGACCATGATAGTTATATAAATTAGGCACAATGTGGAGAGAGTGAGTAGAGTGCATATTTTTCTCCTTCTGTCATCATGTAAACACCCAGGTGAAGTTGGATGGTGGGCAGTTCAGCTCAGATATAGGATATTCCTTTTTTGAACAGTTAAATGATGGTACTCACTTCCACAAGACATGGTGATGACTGTGGTAGTGGCCACCGGCCATCTATATAAAGCAGCTTTGAAGATCAGGCAAATTCAAAGCTGTCTATGGCTAGTCGTCACGGCAGCCACACAGATCAGAGGCATAGCATGGCTTGGAATAGCAGTTGCTGGGAAACTACAGGAGGAGACCACAGTTGTTGCCCCTCATGCCCGACTGCCTGTGGGCTTCTCATGGGTATCCCATTAGATGGGGAGGTGGAAACAGGATGACGGACTAGACAGGCCTCTGCTTTTATCCAGCCAGGCTCTGATAATAGGTTTACACTTTTATCCTCTATTTGGCAAAGAGCAGATTTCGTACGGGCATTGGTGCAGGACCCAACTCACCAGAACTCTGAGTTCAGTTTAGGCTTCCAAATTTTGAAAGTCTAAACATCCAATAAATATTCATTATACTAATTACTGATCACATTAATGCCATCTGTCTTCTCCATAGGAGAAAATGACAGAAAGAGGGGTGTAGCTGGCTTAGGTACAGAAAGCTCTGTTTGCGCTGTAGCTGGCACTTGGATTGGCTGGAAATAATCTGAGTTGAAGAAAGAATGGGCTTCTCCCTTTTTTTAATTTTCAGAACTGCTTTTAACTGAAGCATTCTCCAGGAAGTGGGAGAGCAGCCATCTTCAAAACCCAATAGCAGAATCCCTTTCAAAGGGACTGTTTCAGAGCACCAGCCAGCATGGGCCAACAAAGATCAGTTGGCAAAGGCCTTTCTTCTTAACGCTCATAAGCCCCTTTACTTTTTCCAGCTCCTGACCATGCTGGGCCATCCCAACAGCCCTACTGCCAGGCAGAGAGGTGGGTCTAACTCAGGCAACAGATGCTGGGAGTCAGCAGTGACAGTCTCATGTCAGCTCTTCTTTAATTTCCTGTCTATTCCCTTCTATAGGATGACACAGCTGTGCACACAACACAACTTGTCCTGAACCTGCACACTAGCCTGTTTTCTGAGGTAAGGTACAGGGTACTGTCCAAGTGAAAATACTGAACCTGCCAACGTATACAGATCGAGGAAGGAACACCTCCTTCTATGCATCTCAGGTAGCAAAACGTCTTAGGTTAGCCTTATCTCCCTCTAGACCCACGTCTCACATTTTAATGTCTTCCTTTGCCCTCTCCTATCTCCTCATTCCTGTGCAGCCGGCACATTTCCAAGCTTCCTGCCTAGGTTTCAATTTTTTTCCTTAGCCAGCTGTCTTTCCACTCTTCTAAGGTTCTTGTTCACCTTATGAACTGTGGGTAGTGCTTAGTGAAGGCAGGGCTACAGCGAGGCTCCAAATGTCCCCACCGTGCCAGGCCCCAGCTACTTTCTTCCCTGTCCTCCCTGTCAAAGATCCTCTCTTACTCAGCAAGCCCAGCTAAATGGAAGCAGTTCAGAAGCAGTTAATTTAACCACAGAATATATTTCTCATCAAGGTCCTACCCAGGCCCCTTTGAAAGCCCTAAAGACCTCACTTGTAGCAAGCCTTATGGGAACAGAAAATAATGCTTTCAGTGTGGGGTAGAAAGCAAAAGAATCAGTTAGGACCTGTTGCATGGTTTCCTCAGAGGCCAGGGAAATCCTGGACCTTTCTATTAGCTTGCATATTTCTCACTAGTTGTTAGTCAGACATTCTTCTATGTTCCAAAATACTATAGTAAAAGCTTCTTAGTGAAGACACCTGTATGCTGTGCTGTTCCTGTATTTAATGTCTGACAAATCTATCCAAACAGAATTTAGGGAGGTATTTAGGGAGGGAGGGAGGAACCTCACTCTCCTTCCCCCAATCTTCTGCCCAAGGAATTGTGATCAGTTCTTTCTGGCATTAATGTAAAGAGGTGGCAGTCCTGCAATGAAGATGCTATGGGCTGTGTGATAAGCAGTTACAAAAAGCATGCCTTCTCTTCAATTTCTCCATAATACAGCTTTCTGGACACCTCTCAATGAACCTTCAGAGCAGCAAGCAGAGTGTTTTGCCTGCATCATGTTTGGTCACACTTAGGCTTGTGTCTCAGTGCCTTAGTTCTCTCGGTCTTCATTTTAAGGGGGGGGGGGAAAGAGCCCACCACAATACAAGCTAAAGTTATCTTCAAGATGGACGGTCAGCACTGTACATCTAGTCAAAGCAGGTGTTAGCTTAAAGCTCTCTTTAGCAGCTAAGCATTTCAGCCAATAACAGTCAATTCCTCGATGACATAAGGATAGGGCAGACAGTCACTGTCAGGGACTTTATCACTAGCACCACCAGCACACTCTGTTCATGCCCTGTAATACAAATCACCAAGAAGTATGTTAGGCTTGTGTAGGACATAATGCATCACACCATCAAAAATCTTTACCTTAAGACTCAGAGCATTGAGAAGAATTGTAGAACCACAGAGGAATAGGGCTAGAAGGGACCACAGGGGTAATTGAGTTTCTCCCTCTGCCAAAACAGGAAGTACCCTCTACAGTGGTCCCCAACCTTGGACCTCCAGATGTTCTTGGACTTTAACTCCCAGAAATCCTGGCCAGCAGAGGTGGTGGTGAAGGCTTCTGGGAATTGTAGTCCAAGAACACCTGGAGGCCCAAAGTTGGGGACCACTGTTCTATAGAATCATAAAAGAGGATCTTTCCCCTTGTCTTACCTGGACATGCCAAGAACTGAACTTGGAATCTTCTGCATGTGATGCTTGTATTCTACCACCAAGCTGTGGCTCTTCCTCAAAGGATGCTCTGTACCACTGCCAAGCTCCTCGTGTGTGTTAGTACCTTGACCACACAGGAGGAAAAGGATACTGACAGGGATTTTCACAAAGGGGAAAGATTTCCTTTTATGTACAAATTGCTAACGATATTTGTCAAAGTGGGACCGGGCAGTTCCATAGTTATTTGTTTTTTTAAATTTATACCCTATCTTTCCACCAATAAAGACATGCAAAGCAGCTACCAGCAGGAAACAAAATGGATGATAATTGCCTAAGGTAGAGTTATGATAAAAGATAAGGTGGTTGGCCACCATGTCGGCAGCATGTTGGATTCTGATTCAGCAGGGCTCTTTCTACAGTCTGTGTTCGTTGGGAGGTGATGAAGATGTGTGGGGGGGGTGGTGAGATAGGGGGCTGTAAGCCAACAAGAAAGAAATTACCAACTGCTAGATTAGCCAATGACAGCGGAGTGGAAGGCTTCAGTCCTCTTGAATCTTTGTTACACCCTTGAAAACTGCTTCTAACAGAAATATATTTCAGTCAAATACGTCGCTACCTGTCCCATGACCTGAAAATAACCCCAAGGAGACTAGAACCAAAGGACATTTACCATCCTAATTATCCTGAAGGGGAGGTGGTGGTTTTTTAAAAAATTGTATAAACTGAAGAGAGTGAACAAAATCCCAGGTCTTGGTGCCATGGATTATTAAATGTATATACAACAGCTCACTTGCTCTCTGTGCCCTCCAAAGTTGATTTTTTTTCCTACACAAAGGGTGGGAGTCTTTGAGCATCTTTTCTCCCCAGAAATTGACACTGCAAGTTTCAGTCTGAAGCTGTAGTGGCAAATTTCTCTTTGAAAAACTCCCTCATTGTTCCTCTAGGTCCCCTTCCACTCTTTGCAAATGAACCTAAATTCCATTTCCCACCAAAAAGCCACAATGCATTCAGCCTCAGCATTATCGCCTGTGCCATTGCTCTCCTTGGCCTAGCCTCACACAGTAGGTATTTATAAAGATTTACATCCCTAATACCGTATATAAATGCACACTTAGGGTGAGGCCAGCCTATAAATATTTATGGCTGGGAAACGCAGTGCACAATGCACAGCGGAGGAGGTGGGTAAAAGGAGCTGTGAGGAGAATACCAGGTGCTGCTTAGCTTCCTCTCACTGTCAGACAAAGGAAGCACTCAGGAGACCTCAAACTAAAGAGAGTTATTTTCCCAGTAGCAACATATAGACGCTTCAAAAGGCCTCCTGAAACAAGCAAAAAGAGTGCCGGCATCAGGCTTTCAGAAAAACCAACAATCTCTGAGGGGAAGAAAGTATAGGACTGATAAAAGGCAACCTGCTCACTTCTCTCTGTTTAATACAGAGTTTGAGGACAAGGAACTGAAATGTTGTGATCCTTGTACATTAATGCCCAGTGGGATATATTTTATCTGCACCATTGGTTCATATGCTAATCTTAGTGCATGAACCAGAGTGTTCTATCTCAGACATCCATTTTTATAACAGGTGTGCAACCACAAGGTTAACCCATATAGATGATGCAATCCTTAAAATGTGTATTGGGTATGATGTAGTGTCTAGAAGAGGACAACGTGTGATGTGCCAGTCATTGGTTGTTTCACACTATATAAGAGCTGCACGCTATAGTGGAATATGGAGAGTTGCTACACGAAGTGCCATCCATTTATTTTACAGATACGTGTATTGTTTAATCTGCTGTTCATAACTCTGCTGTACATATTTTTGTAAATACACTACTGGAAAGGAATCCCTGTGAGTCTCTTTACTGTCAAGCTGGAAGACTGCCTTGTCTCGGACCCATCGCCACACCCCAAAATTCCAGACATGAACTAAAGAAAACCCAATCGTTGGACAGAGTGAAGCAACTGTCCCGGGTATCAGATTTGGGCTGTCATGAGAAGGCACTAAAATAGTGACTTATTTACTTTGCTATTAGAATAATTTTATTGCCAGGACAAAGAGAGGTGCTTGTGAAAGTTTCTGATCCAAGTCCAAAAAGATCTTGGTTAAATGGAATGCCATGCACCTTGATTTGGACTGGTTGATGGGGAAGGGAATGCACTGCTTCATCTCAAGCAGTCCAGGGTCCTGGGCTGGCTCTGAAGTGAACCTCACGGCTTAACCACAAAAGCTGCCTTAACGCTCAGCCAAGCCGATCGTCCACCTTCCAGCCCCTGTTTAAATCTCTTGAAAGACTGAGGCAGTATCTCTCACATACATCTTTTCTGAAACACAGAAACTAATGAAGTGATGACCACTCCAGGCTAAAAAACACACCATGCATCTAAGCTCTTTAAAAATACAGCCTGCATGAGTTCCTTTCTAGAAATTCCCACTGGCTGCTCTTTACCCTTGCAGTAGCCGCAGGGATGCTGGTGGTGGGAATCCAGCACATGTTCCCAGTCTGGATCAGATTCTCCTTTGAAGTAACAGTTTAACCCATAGCTATAGCTTCCCAGTTCTCTGGGGAAAGGCTGCACCACTTCTGCACAGTATCTAATACACACCGTCGCCACAGAATAAATATTAAAAAGCAGTAAAGGAAAATTGTCTTTGTTAGCCTTCAGCAGTCATCGCTCCATTAGCTTCCTTGTTCAAAACAAGAAGTGTGTGAAAGATATTGCCTCAATCCATCAAACAGGTATGCAATGTCTTAATAAAAATCAGCACGCAACTAGATCCTGGGAGAAAGCAGAGAGGTAAAGAAGTGGATCTGAATTCTTTCTTGTGGGAAAAATGTGTCTACATAGGAATGTGGCAATATTTTCAACTAATGCAGGGATGGGCAATGCTGAGAGTATGGAAAGTTATTTTTTAATGTTAGAGTTACAATTCAAGGATTCAAAAACTGGTTCATTATGACTATGGTTACATTTTAAATCTTTACTTTCCTGTTTGTTAAAAGTAATTAAATGGTTACTTTTAGTTATCACTAATTAAAATTGAAATGCTATATGTAACTGCGTTTTGTTACAGAACACACCCTCCATGAATCCAGGACATAGCTGATCAAGTAGACAGAGACTGGCTAGTTTCTGTGATCCTTTAAGAGCCACCCTGAGCTCCCATATCTGGTTTTCATATTGTAAAAAAAACTCTTCTTAGAATGGCCTCTAGGATTCATATGCAACATTGCTTCACAACACAGCTGAAGAATGTGTGCCCCACCGTGCAAAAGTGTTCTTGGATTACAGTGTCATTATCCTTGACTATCGGCCTTGCTAGCTAAGGCTGATGGGAGATGCAGTCCAACAGCATCTGGAAGACCACAGGTTCTCTAGCCCTGCTTCACAACTACAGATATAAGTCCAAAGCTTACAAAGATGTCTTCTTGAGCATATAAAGAGTTTTCCAGAGTCTCAGAAAGCCATACGGCTGAATGTTTATGGATTTATATTATTTTAATTGTATACATGTTGTTGTTAGCCACCCAGAGTGGTATAATATACCAGGTGGGCAGGATATAAATCAAATAAATCAAATAAATCAAATAAATAAATAAATAAATAAATAAATAAATAAATAAATAAATAAATAAATAAATAAATATTCTGTGTAGAAGGAGAGCCTCCACAAGGAAGAATGAAGTTTGAAGGAGGTTAATGCATTGGCCTTCCGTTGGGAAAGATATTAAATGTTATTGCTGATCTTTTTCCATTTTATGTGCCAACCTAGCAGTTTGAAAGCATGTAAATGTGAGTAAATAAATAGGTACCACCTCAGTGGGAAGGTAAAACAGCGTTCCCTAGTCACGCTGGCCATGTGACCACGGAAAACTGTCTTCGGACAAGCGCTGGCTCTACGGCTTGAAAACGGGATGAGCACCGCCCCCTAAAATCGGACACGATTGGACTGAAAATGTCAAGGGGAACCTTTACCTTTAAGATAATATATAGGTACTGTGGTATCTTCATTCATTCATTATTCACTGCCAAAAAAGGCACTAAAGTGGTGCATAATAACCTAAAACAAAATAATGAAACAATTTAAAAAAAAATGTTTAAAGAAACCATTAAAATATAAAATACTAAATGCCAAACACTATTTTTTTTAAAAAAAAACCCCATTATATTCTAATACTTTTTTTAAGCCATGAAAATGGGCATCAATCATATTTCTGGTGGAAATACATATTTCCACAGTTTCCGGGTGACTTTGTGAACAAGGCTCCACATACAGCAATGTCCTCATTAGGTTATTATCAAAATCTCTTCTACAGATCTTAATAACCCAACCAATTCATAACAATACAATATTAGGAACTGCTATTGCCACAATGCTTTTGTGACTTTTTTCCACTTTCTAATGTGTGGGTTTTTTAAATGTAGTTAGTTATATTGATACTATTTGACTGGATGCAGTGTTTGTTGTTACTGTACCTTATACATCTGTGATGTTCTGACATAGCTGTAGTTTTAGAAGAGGTACGTAGCTGTGTTAGACTGTTCTGGCATATCAGTCCAAAATAAAAGAAAAATAATAATAATAAAAAGAAAAGACGAAAATATTCTGGCATCTTAAAGACTAACTGCTCTATTTTAATGTGAGTTTTCGTGGACATGTCCGCTTCTTCAGATATCATGTCTGAGGAAGTACATGTCCATAAAAGCAAAAATTAAAATACAGCATTTAATCTTTAGGGAACCACAAAATTTTTTGTCTTCTTTGGTTTTTTTCCCTTTAGCCCAATATTTTGACCATCTATTTTTAAGAATTAAACTCTATTTTTGTTTTGGCCAAAGCTGGCATTGCACTATTCAGCTACTTGTTGACTCAGAGGCGTAAACAGAATGTGAATGGAAAATTCATATACAGGCTCAATGTAGAGTAAGTGGCACTCACAGGCGGCCTCTCTTGCTCTCCACTACGGAACAAGTAAGCTGACCTTAAACTGCTGTCTTCTCTAAACAACAGAACAAATTAAAAATAAGAGGTAAGGAAGTCAAATTGGGCCCCTCCATTCACTCTCACACACCCAGTCTTGAAATTGCTGCAGTGGTGATGGAAATGGTGCTCCTCATGCTTTCACCAACAATCTTGTTTAAACAGGTCTTGTTTGAAACTAGAATCATGCTACTAGATTGATATACAGATGTTCTGGGCTGAAGTGATGTGAGGATACAGTGATGTGAGGAAACTATTATTGTCGCTGACATTCCTTGTAAACGTCTTTTAATTCAATTGTGTTGAAATTGAGTCCCACCCCACACATTCTTACCTACCCAGAATAGTGGTAGCTCTTTGTGTGTTCACAGAGGTCTGAATGCACTTGTAGTGTGTCCAGGATTGAGCACTCTGACTTATCATGGAAATGTTAAAAGTGCACTATAAGTCGGGATGGGATTTTCAGATTTCATGGATGACAAATCCCATAATTTTCCATTCCAGGAGTTCTGTTGACACTGAAACGTGTCTCCCCTGGGAGAAAGGCTTCAGTTGGAGGACTCTGAGGCAGAGCTAGGCTTCCAGTTTGGAATAGAGCTCCCAGTTAGCAGGAACAGGAAGCTTGGAAGAAGCTAAACGGATTTCAGCCTCAAAGCATTCCAACTGAGGCCTTTCTCCCAGGTGAACCTTATTTCATTAGGCAGAACTCCCAGAATAGAGAATTATGGGATTTGCAGTCCATAAAACCTAAAAATCCCATCCCTTATTACAGTGGTGCCTCGCATTACGACGTTAATTTGTTCCAGGGAAATCGCTATAGAATGAAAATGTCGTAATGTGAAATAAAAAAGCCCACTGAAACGCATTAAAACCCAATTAATGCGTTCCTATGGGCTTGAAACTCACTGTCCAGCGAAAATCCTCCATAGCGCGGCCATTTTCGCTGCCCATGCAGCGAGGAATCCATCCCAGAAAAGAGCGGAGAGCCATTTTTAAAAACCCGGCAGCTATTTTGAAACTGCTGATCAGCTGGCCGAAAATCATTGTTTTGCGAGAATCGGTTCCCGAAGCAGGGAACCGATCATTGCAAAGCGAAATTCCCCCATTGAAACCATCGTAAAGCGATCGATTTTGTGATCGCAAAAGTTCGTTGTAATCGGATTTCATCGTTAAATGGGGTGCTCGTCTTGCGAGGCACCACTGTACAAGCACCACTGCAGACCTTTGCTGTGAACATGCTGAAGACTCTCTCTCTTTTGGGAGGAGTGCGGTTGAGCGGAATCAGTTGGGCCTTATGTGTGGGCCCCAATCCACTTCAAAGCCCTGCCTGAATTCTGGGTGTCAGGTCTAACTTGGGCCTGAGAAAATGGCTCCAGCTGTTTAAAGGGGAAAAAGTGTTGCTTTCTCTTTGCCTTTGCCTTGATGGCCATTTCAGCAGCAGTGGTGGCAGGAGAGGCCCTTGAGAGGTTAAAACAGAAAGGGAGGCATATACGAATGTATGTATGCTGTCCACCCCTCCTTCTAGACATAAAGAAGCAACATAAAAGAGTTCAGTCTCCCCAGGACATAGTCTTCCTGCTACTTGGTGGAGAGGGAAGGGAGCATTTACAAAAGAAGAGGCAACAGTCTTTCTATTCAGGCTAGGCTTCAGCAATTGACTGGTGGCTAAGAACAGGGCTTTTAATGGGTGGGCACAGTGCTTTTCAACTATTATTGTGGTTGACATTCCTTTTAATTCAGTTGTGTTTAAATCAGCAGCCTGTTTATAGCTTACTGGGTTTTTATTTGTACCTATTTTAAAAATCATTTTGTGAGATGCTGGAATGGTGAAATATAAACAAACTACACTGACGCGAAATGAAATGAAACAAATAAGATGGGGGAAGAAGGGGAGAAGTACTGCTGACATCCTGCCAGGGAAAATGAAAAGATGAGCTAAAGGAAGGGTGCGGGCAATCTGTGTGTGTGTGTGTGTGTGTGTGTGTGTGTGTGTGTGTTGTGTGTGCGAGAGAGAGAGAGAGAGAGAGAGAGATTGTTACAAGCTATATGACCAGGAATACTCCTACCCATTCTTCCAAATAGAAGGCACGTACTCATTCCTCCAAAACATAAGTAGCAAATTGTACAAAGGTCTGGAGGGTTTGAAGCAGAACTGGAAAACTCCAGGTCATTTTTTATCTCTGGCACAGACTTGCTATGCAATTAACAAACATATCTGTTAGGGTCTGTGACACGGGGCTGTTTATTTTGATAAGACAAGGGAGCTATTTCCCCATGTCTTCTTCTCACATTGCCCCAGCTGGTGATCAGGTTGGAAGGACCTATGTATAATTGTGCTTATCTACATATTTCCTTCATCCAAGTGTTGCCACAGTATCATGGGAAAATCTAAAGGAAGTATACATTCACACTTTTGTGACAATGAATGGCATTGTGTAAAAAAAAATATTTAGCAGCTTTAGTAGATCACAGACTAAACATGCCTCAGCAGGGCAATGCAGCATCCAAAAAGCCAACTGCAAATCTAGGTAACCCTATTCAGCAGTAGAGGAGATGGCCACTGAAGCCAGTGGACTCTTTTTGTGTTAGATATTTTAAGCAAAGTCTGGGTGCCTGCCTATCACCAGTGCCACAATAGTGGACCTCCAGTAGTTTGGGTTATATGACTTCTGAGATCACTTCTGTATTTATGATTCTGATAAATGGTCATATATGTTCATTCAACCCTGGACTGCAGCTTACCTAAGACAGAACATCTCTACTTATCTGTATGTAGCTAGAAACCATAAACAAGAATCATTTGGGTGTAACTACAAACCACCTTAGTGCTCATGGTGGTCAAACACCAACCTTTCTGGAACAAATCAAAGGGAAACAACACACATATATTTCTTCCTTCCTCTTTAGTACCGGGCTCTACTTTTTCAATACCTGTATCTTTACTCCGGTATAAAAGTAAACACACAAAAGACAAGAGCCCTGTCTGGGAACTTCAACAGCCAGATCCAGAGGAACACATTAGAAACAAGGAAACATCCTGTGGCTCCTTAATAGCTAACAGGTTTCATTTGACATAGGTTTTTGTGCAGGACACAAGAGTTTTCTTTGCTTTTGCTACACAGCCATCCTGCCTCCGAAAAAAAATCTGGAAGGGATACATTACTTACATGTTGCTCTATAGTACTGTTTTGTGAATTGTCACAATTGAATAAGGATTGAGAAAAATAAGCGGCAGGTACAAAGGCCAACTGGTTCACTGTCTCACATCGCTAGCTCTCATAACTGTCGGCAACCAGACCTGCTCTCCGAACATCACAGGCATCAGAAAGTGATCTGCTCCTTTCTTCTTGATAAGTTCAACAACAGGGAGACAAAGG